AGATATTATCTTGTTTTAATGCGATCCTATGTCTCTTCTATGTATATGAGTATGTGTATATATGTATATGTATTTGATATGCGATTTCTTTGTTCTCTTGCAATTAATTCTGAAAATATATTTTTAATATGTTTTGTATGTTCTATCATCTCCTTGTTTGAAGTTTTTTTGATGAATATATTGTTTCCCATGACGCAAAATGTCAGGTAGCCTTTTAACACACGTAAATGATGAATTTATGCTATATTATGTTCAGAATACAATATTTAGACTAAATAAAAAAACACGCACATATTACGTACATTGCACACAAATCTCTTTTGAACTATTGGTGGCTCTGAAAAGAGCCGTTTGGTTTGAAATTGCGCCAAGATGTTTACTTGGAGCTGGTGTACTTGGTGACAGCCTTGGTGCCTTCAGAGACGGCATGTTTAGCCAATTCACCGGGCAGCAAAAGACGAACGGCAGTTTGGACTTCCCTGCTGGTGATGGTGGATTTCTTGTTGTAGTGAGCAAGACGAGATGCTTCACCGGCAATACGTTCGAAGATATCGTTGACGAAGCTGTTCATGATTCCCATGGCTCTGCTGGAGATACCAGTGTCTGGGTGAACTTGCTTCAACACCTTGTAGATGTAGATGCTGTAGCTCTCCTTTCGCTTACGTCTTCTCTTCTTGTCGCCAGTTCTGACGGCCTTAGCCTTACCGGCTTTTTTGGCAGCTTTTCCTGAAGTTTTTGGAGGCATGTTTTCTATGTAGTCTACGAATAGATGAGTGACAAACGTTTGAACGAGCACGGTATTTATAGAGTGAGATATGCAAAGTAGGACTTCTTGGTCGGCTGTATTATCTCAAGGGTTCCTATTGGTTGTTGAAAACGCGCGATTTATTGAATTGGTGATAATTGTTTTATGCGGGCTAATCAACAGCATATGAGTCATTATCAAACCTATTTTTCTAAACAGGCGCCAAAAATTAGCTACAGTAAAATGACAATGCAATTGAAATGACGCCCAATTTCCAAGTTGAGTAAATACAAATAATTAGTATATGACATATAATAATACATTACTAATAATGTGTGTAAATATATCTGTGGTACGATATTGATTTTATTCTGCTATCTTGACAACGATTAATTCTCTTTAAACATAAAATATAATAGAGATATGTTATACACACAAATAAGAGTGTAAAAACGTGTAAAATCACAGTGTACATAGTTTCAAAAAAATACAAATTGATATTAAAGGTTTTAAAAATTTAGGCCTGCTCTAATTGTTTAGTTGGGGATATTTTATCATGAACAATTGGTCTAATTTAAAGAACCCAAAATTTGTTCGTGGATCTGCTGCAGGCCCTACTTCATTACATGCTTCAACTCAATTGCAACTTTGATATGTTAAATTACACATTTGTTGATTTGTGTAAGAATAAACTTGCTAAATGAAACGATTTAAATATGTTTGAACAAGTTTTCAATTAGGATAACTTTACTTTTAATTCTTTTTTTAGAACTGTTGATGGCATGTTGGAGCCTCATACAACATTTAGTGGGCAAACCAAATTAACCAAAAGTCCTCTTGAAGATTATTCAAAATTAAAATCTCTACGAGGACTTGAGAAATATTTTTTCTTGAAGAAACTAACCAAAAGTAATGTTATGGGGGAAAGTTTATAATCCAAATCAAGATCTAACACATCACCCCAGGACTTGCAAATGGTCTAAAGAAATAACTGATCAGTGTACCTTATGCTAAAGTGGTGAAATTAAAGATATCTATCATTTTTTATTTATGTAAGTCATCTGATACAACCAGAGAATTAAATTTTTCGAGACTGCAATCTGACATAATTTTTACTAATTTTCGATGATAAAATTGAATTCGACCTTTAGGTGAATGCTCC